TTGCTTAATTGTTAGTAAACCACAAATATTTTTTTAAGGTACGTACAACATTTCTAACAGGAGAATCTGTTGTATTGTACGGGCCCGACTTAAAAGGTTTATTTTGTTCATGATAATTAAATAAGTTGAGTGACCCGAAAATTGCGAGGGTCTGGGAAGCTGTAACACCCCGGCAACCCTGGCTAGTCCGCCTCTGGCATTCATTATCAAAATCATTACTTCAGAGAATCATATACAGTCTGCAATCTTTGTGGGCAGTAATTACTTTGTACTAATAATAATAATTAGTCCCTTTTTTGTTAGAATTGCCGGTTGGATTTAGGTGATTTTCACTGTACATGCTTATTTTGACTATTATATTGTTACCACCAAATAAATGGCAGAGGTTTTCTTTAAATAGTATATACGAGATATTAAATTTAATATTAATCAGTTTAGGAGTAAAAACTGCAGCATCAAAAATTTAGTGTCTTTGGCAAAACTGTAATATGATTAATCTGAAAATACTGTTCGGTGATAATTCAGTGAGAACAATAATTTTTAAAATTAATGCAGACCTGTTTTTCAGGAAGTTCTCGCCGAATGAAAAGTTTGATATTTATTACATGTAACGTCCATTTATTAATTTTAGTAATTTGTCCGAACACCTGCATTCCATTGGTTTTATTTGAATATAATGTATTACAAGCTTCGTATTAAATCTTAACTGACATATTCCCCACTATTCCCTAATTGAAGTTGTATCCCGTGAAATATAGTTAATGAGTAGTTAGTTAACGGATTTAGTAATTTTTGTTTCGTGCGAGTTTACTGCGAGTGATTTTATGCTCCCGATTTCGATTTCTTGTTTGTAGTCTCTGTCTTGTTTTTAAACCGAAAAACTTGATTGGAGTGCAAACATCAAACGAAAATTTTAATTTACTTTGTTTTATCTTATGGGGTGACTAAAATAAATTTATTTTTGTGTTCCATCTTTTTAAACATTCGCTTTGAGTCCGAAGCACCACATTGTACGATATATTTTTCGCTACTCTGGAATAAACTTCCTTCACACTCGAATTTCTGCTATCGAGCAATTTTTCCCTAGGTATTTTTCTTTTTTTGAATTTAATACATAATGTTACTAATTTACTCTAAAGTGTACAGTCAGTGTCGAAATACATATTCAAGTTATTGTTTATTGCCTAATGTTTGAATATACATTATTTTCAATATAAAAGTGTGAAATGATTGTAGCACAGATGTTAAAAAAAACTTTGTTGCAACTTTTTTGTCAAATCTTGCATTTTGAGAAAATTTCAGGAAAACCGAATTAACCTAAGACATCACTAACTGCCCATTCACAATGGACATAAGGCATAACAAGTACATAAAGCTTACATAAATACGTAAAGTTGAAACTATGGAAAACGCGTACCCCTGTTCACAGTGGACGAACGTAATTCTTATGCTTATGAACGTTTTATGTAATCCTTGTGTGCGTACACAAAGTTGAAATAAGTTCAACTTTGTGCACGAATTATGTCAAAATTATGTTAAAATCTAGGGACTTTTGAATGCTGCTATTGAATTCCCTTTGACAGTTGGCACTTGGCACTTCACACCTTTGATTATATTATAAAAATTATAATCAAAGCTTCACACGGCGAGTCTGTTCTGTACTGCGAGTTGTCAAGTTCGAATATCGTATGAAATTTTAGGTTAGATATTTTTTTTAACTCAGTTTGAGGTTAGCCGTTTCTATGTTTAGCCGGGAGTTATACCGTTCTGCGTTTGCGCAGTTTAACAATTCTTACAGAGTTCACTCTGTCCACTATGAACGTAGATAAGCATAAGCCAGACACAAACCAAAAACGTAAATTATGTTATGCGCTCGTTCTTATGTCTTATGTCCATTGTGAATGGGCAGTAAGAATGTATGAAAATATGTATACACGGTTCTATTAAAAAAAAAAAAACAGAATATTCTGTATCGTTAAACACGTTAAATTTTGTCTTTTTTGTGTCTTCACTAATTAACGAAAGTTATTAATTCGCCCTGTATATATAAAGAAAAAAATAAAAAGAAAAATATTATTATGTTTGGAGAGACTCACCAGTTTAATGATTTCATAAGTAACAAAACAGGACGTTTACAGTTCAAGAAAAAAGAATAGCTGAGTATAAACCCATAGCTGGTCCGAGATAATAAAGGAGATAAAAAAATGGCTAATGTAGAACTTAGGATATTACAATTTTTGTAGGATTATGAGGGAATTATGAAGACAAAGAAAATAGCAATTAACGAAACAGCAAGGAGAAATAAATAATTCAATCTCGAATTTATTCAGCCAAATTAAGAGTGCTCAGTAAAGTAAGAACGAAAGTGAAGCAGATGGGAGCAAAGAGAGTAAAACGAGACTGCAAACACAATGCTACTGAAAAAAAAAATCGTCTAAAGTTATTTAGACAGAACTTCCCTAGGCTCTAAGGTACAGGCGAACATATATAGACTCCTCGAAAAATTATAAAATTGATTTTAATGATAGCCCCTATACGTTAGAACAAAGCTACGTACGGATGGTTAAAATACAGATAAAGAAGCAAGCAGTGCGCATGATTCGACTGAGTTTTTTCCATAAAAAAAATTATAGCGACGTCATCAACATGTATATCAATTTGAATAGGGAAACAGGGACCTACTTTATCGTACTTTAGGCGTTATGAAACATGAAAGAGGATCAAGGAAAGAAGAATCGAACTTGATATTGATGATTAGGTGTACGATCTGATTTAAGCAACGAAAACAAAATTTGGTTATTTCTCCAAAGCTGAAGATGATGAATCTTGTATCCAGCAGTGTAGTAAATATTTGCAGTAGGAAGAAAATACTGCTTTGATAATATACTATATTATTTTTATAAATAATTTTGGACGTGAAAGTGTACAAACAAACCTTCATAGTCAATAGTAGATAAGACCCATCCGACGACCGTTAGTTCGAATTTCGCTTGGTACTGAACATTTTTTTCTCGGGTTTACATTATTTACTTTATTTATTCCTGAAACGAGGTGTACGTATTTTTACAGTTACCTTAAACTGACTAGGTATTTTAGCTCAGAAAAAAAACTTTACTTTAGAAAGACTTTTCAGTAACAGAATGACAGAAGGGTTTTTTAGATATCGTAATAAAACGGCAATGTTGTGTACCTCTGAATGATAAAAGCAAATAAATTTAACAATGAAGGATTTTTTTTATTACACGTTATTGTTTTAACCTTAAGAAGTTTGTTTTACTGTAATAAACAATAAAAAAATTAAAATGTGTTATCAATATTAATATTATTGTCTGTCACTGAATTTTTAATATTTTCCTTATTTCACTAAAAAAAATATTGTAATATAAAAATAACATAAGTAAGAATATTGTGTATCACATGCTTTAGCTAGTCAGACATTCTTGTAAGAAATGGTCAAAATAGTCCCCAATTTACTGAACTCACACTCTTAACACTCAAGAAAGTTAGGTTATGATTCAGATTTGTGATAATATATATATTATCACAAATCTGAATCTGAAAGAACTAGAAGAAAGTATACTTTCTTCTAGTTATAAAAGCTTGCTGGAATCTCATTAAAATAGTTATTTCCTTTTAAATTGTAAGTAATAAGAGTAGGTATATTTTAATTATAACGTCTGTAATAAAAAGTTTTCGAAACATGTTTTCTATTTAAATATTTATAGTCGTTCACAACGATTAAATAACGTGGATTTTGTTATATTATAATTTCAAGCATAAACTAATTTATCAATTATGAACAACACAAAACGAAAGGAAATTGGAAACAAATAACTATAATTGGCTTGGGGAAATAGCAAATATCTCACTAAAGAAATGTTTTAAATACACAAAAAATATTCAGCTTTAGGCTCTAAACGAAACAATAGAAAAAAATATAGAGAGAATTTAAAACAACATAAAATGCATCAATATTCAAAATATGGTTATCTATATATGGAATAAATAATTATAAAACATTTTGGCTACTGAAAAAATTAACGAAGATACCTCAAAAAAAAAATTGTTTTTTAGTCCTGAAATAAAAGGCCTAGAGGCACGTTATGTACAATATACATAAATACAGTTTTGGTACATACAATATGCAACAGTCGGAAACCACCAACTGGAAATATCTAGTTCGTGGTTTCTTACTCTTCCGACTAACGACTCTTGAGACAGATTAAGACAAAATTACGCCTCATGATTAAATACGGGCTCCTATTTGTCTGTACTTTGTGTATTAATGTTCAGAAAGTAATTGTTTTAATTAATCGGATCTATTTTTTAAATACCTTATGCGTTCATGTGGTAATTAATAATGAAACAAAAATTCTGAAAACTTTATTACTTACGTGACGCAGTGTCTTATGTTTCACGCACATAAAGAACGTGATACAAAGAACCGTACTTAAAGAATTTTTTGCATTGGAAAATATAAGCGCGATTGTCATATTTATCAACGATATAAAACGATGTTTTCATTATAACATCTTTTTATATGCAGACCATTTAAAAAGTGTGCCTGACGTCAAGTTCGAAAGTTAATGAAATCCAAAAAAACCTGAATATCTTCAAAAAGTTCAAAGACGAAAATTGATTCCTGAGTTCCAACAATTTATACACATTATGCTCCAATTATCTACAAGACTACCCTCAAAAATTCACATGCAAAACACTTGTTTTGTTTCAATTACAGGGAGTTTAAGCTGATTTGGTTAGGTGTGTTGGTTACAAAAGATATTTATATAATAAATACAGAGTGTCCCAAAGGAATAAAGTGTTGAGGTTAATTCAAAAAGTAGGTACAATAACACTGGAATTATACCACTGAATAATTATCAAGAAGGGTTTGAGATGAGGTTGTTTTGTTGGGACGCCCTGTTACTACTTTCTACCGTAAAGTAACAGAAAATATGTCAACTATGGTTTAGGTCCATATCGAGTACATAAAAACTTGCCTAAGTTCTGTGTCTAGAGGTGCGCCGTTTCTCTTGGACTGATTTCGATTCCTTTTAGGACTCTCTGGTGCTGTGGTGTCAGGTTGACTTGGGGCGTACCCTGAATCGTTGTTTCCGTTTGGGTCAGCTAGAGGCGCTGGTGACGCTAGGCTGGCTACCACGCTTGATATGCTGCCAAATAAATAAATAGGGTAAGTAGCAGACACCGTGAAATTTCGTTGTCAAGGAATTTTCTTGCGTCGTCACCGGCCAACCAAGCCAAATCCCAGAATGTGATGAGAATAAAATCGGGAAAAAGGGTGTTGAACTAGGGCTCCCCGTTTATTAAATTGACATATTTTCGTTACTTTTGAGGCAGAGAGAGAGAGAATCAGACAAAGGTTTCGTATTGAAGTGGATTTTAAATGGTTTGTTTTTTTCGCGGCTGGCCCTTAATTGATGAAATTGATGACTTAACGATGAAAAAATCTTGAAGATAATTAATAGTCGAACTTAATAGAATTTGTCTTTGAACGCATAAATTATCAATTTTATCTCTAATTGGGATCGAACTTTATTAATTGCCATCTAGTAACAAATTGTTCAAAGTTTTTGCTTTGTGTCGGATTTTTCCATGACGGGGAGGTGGTTAAATGTGTGTAACAATTAAATTGATAGGGGTGTTAAGTAAACATCATAAATTCACATTGGGTGGGGACATATGAATTATTCTATGTTTACAGCAAAAGTACACATAACAAACACGGTAGTTCTCAAACAGGTTAAAATGTTTACTAGAATGAATAGGGTTTTAGAAGTTGTCAATTAATACTTGAAGGGACAACTAATAATTAACTTACTCTTTGTAATTAGGCTTCGAGTTTTTACGCTGTTCTCTGTAAAAACAAAAATCCAGACAGTATTTTACAACAAAACACTTTTTAATCTGTAACCTTATATTACAACGCTTTCCAAAACTTAAGAGGGAGTTAAATGAACATTCTTCAGATGCATTCATTATTTAATTACTTGTTGGGCTAAAACGAATTACTACAACTGATTATATTCTGCCGTTTTAAACTTAATACAACTTTAATTTCCCAGACTTTTTTTATCTAAAATTCCAACACCCTCTCTTGTTGACATTTTTTTTAAATTTAGTCAAATATCGGCCTAAAACTTATTATTATGTAAAATTAGAAAATTTTAGTAATCTGATATAGTGTCACAAGCTTGTAAATATCATGAATACTTGAAAACATTCTCTTTTGACACTTATTTAAAATAATGCTTTCCCTTAATGTCTTAATCGTGCGCAAAAGAAACCCTCAAGACGTATTTATTTGCATAAAAGATGTTCAAAGCAGAAACAGTGATAAATATGTTTGTACAACACGAAATACTTCGTAATTGAAGAAATTTCAGCATAATAATGAGAGTTGGAAAAATTAAACTTCCGAATTAAAAACAACCTCAGCCGGATAAATACATTTACTTCCCCCTTGTGCTCATGAATAATGTTGTAAAATTAATTTTGGTTTTGCCTGACTTTTGTTTCGCGTTAGGATCTACGCGAATTAAAGGTATTAGCTTTAATTAAATAATGAATAATACAACTCCATGAAAATTATTGTTAGTCTTTAATGAAACGCAGGGTGAAAAAAAAAACGAGAACCGCGGAATGAAAATCATTATTTCATGTTTTTGCAACAATAAAATTTTCATGTCGCAGAAGTAATAATAATAATAGTGCTTTATTACGCCGAAAGATGTAAAGGCATTACATAAAGTACATAACAAAATATTAACATAACAATTCATATTAACATAATAGTAACAATTTGCGACATTCTTTCTTGAAGGCGTTGAGGGAGATACCAAAAAACTCTAAAGTGTTGCATTCGTTAGCAATCATCAAAACGCTATTTAGAGGCGAATGTAATGCATAATTCGTTTTATGAACTGGTATAAAAAACAACCTAGGCGTACGAACCTTACGGATTGACACATTAAGACCTACCAACGCTAGCAATATGGGGGCTTCAATTAAACCATTTAATAATTTAAAAAGAAAACATAGTTTGTGATACTTACGACGATTTTCTAGTGTATGTACTGACAGATAAGATGCAACAAGGTCTGTATCAGCTAACACAATACCATCACCACACAACTTATATTTGACATATTTTAAAAGTTTGACTTGGACAGCTTCAATTCGGCTTATGTGAGTGATATAAAACGGTGACCAGTTGACACAATTGAATTCCAATATCGATCGGACTAACGAATAGTATAATATCAGAATGGTTCTGATGTTACTGAAGTTCACCGTCCACCGCTTTAAACACCCCAAAAGTTTTCTACCTCTAGAAACAACATATTCACAGTGACTGACGAAAGATAATTTAGTGTCTAAATAGATACCCAAATCCTTGGCATTGCTAACTATGTCTAGGGGCGTATTTTCTAGTAGGTACAATGGAACTGAGGGACGACTTTTGCGACTAAAGCACATTGCTTTGCATTTTTTAATGTTAAGAGACATATGATTGAGTTTACACCAATCGTTAAGACATATAAGATCATTTGTCAAAGTATTTATGTCATACATGGAATCAATCTTCTTATATAACTTCAAGTCATCTGCATACAGTAAGGAATTTGAGTTGAAATTCAAGCAGATATCGTTAATGAAGATATTAAATAAAAGTGGTCCTATAACCGAGCCTTGAGGAACTCCAGATGTTGATTCGTAGGTAGATGACTTGAACTTCATTAATTGTACAAAATGTAGACGATGACTGATATAAGATTGAATCCATGAAAGTAAAGGATCACGAACGCCGTAGAGTAGAAGTTTGTGTATCAAAATGGTGTGATCAACAGAATCAAACGCCTTGTGGAAGTCTGTGTAGATGCAGTGAATTTCCGAACCGTCCTCAATTGCATTAAAAATATCATTTATGTATACAAAGAGATTAGATTCAGTTGATCTACCAGAACAAAAACCATGTTGTGACACACTGATTACGTTTCTAAAAGAATCACTTATGAAACTGGACACAATGTTTTCAAAGATTTTCGATAGAACTGAAATTATACTAATCGGTCGATAGTTTTCAATGTCTTGCTTATTGCCAGATTTAAAGATTGGTACCACACGTGCAGATTTCCACAAGTCAGGAAATTTTCCCGAACTTATTGAAATAGAGAAAATTCGTGTTAGTGGTATAACCAATGAATCTCTGCAGTTATAAAAAAATGTTGGAGGTAACTCATCTGGCCCAGCACCCTTGTTTAAGTTTAGAGCATTAAGTTCTCTTGCTACCAAATCTTCCGTGATATGCACAGAGCTGATGTCAACAAATGAGTCAATTGTGTAAGGATAGTTATAATTACTACTACTGCTGGTATTATTAGTATATACGGAAGAAAAAAAACTGGCAAACGTATCAACTATGTTTTGAAACCCGCAAACATCAATACTTTTATAAATCATTATATTTGAAAAGTCGCAACTGTTTTTTACACTCTTAATAAAATTCCAAAAATGTTTTGGGTTAGAGTTGATTTGAGATTCGGTGTTCTTAATAAATTTGTTGTAACAGCAAGCGATTTCTTGTTTACATTTGGCTCTAATTAAACTGAAATTATAATAATCTCTGATATCACGGCTTATTTTATAACGACGATGTAATTTGTTCTTCTCAATCACTAACTTTCTAGTTTCATGGCTAAACCAAGAGGGAAAATTTTTACTTTTAGATTTCCGGATTGGTATAAAATTATCACAAATGAAATACAAACACTGGTAAAAGTCATCTACAATATCACATATGTCATTATCGCTACTAATAAAATCCCAGTTAAAGTTAAACAGGAAAGAATTGATGGCATTATAATCACAGTTTCTGAAATCACGATAGGTATCACAAAATGTATCACCGTAATAATTACAGTTACAATCAGATATCACAAATTTAAGAGGTGGATGAAACTTATCCACCTTTACAAACTCACCAGTACGACTTACAGTAAGACTATCACAGTTGGAAAAACAAAGGTCAAGAATATTATTATTGCAGTTGGCAATATTGTTAAATTGACAAAGATCGCATGACGCAAAATTGTAGCATATAAGAGTCTCTTTTTCTGATTTAATATTAGTTGGAGTCAAACCTATTGTCTCATCATCATGAATCCATTGTATGCCAGGCAGATTGAAGTCTCCTAGAACAAAAATCGTATCGGCCAAGTTGTTGTAACATATAGTTTTGAGATTGCCAACATAATCGGCATAGACAGCAAGTGAAACGTCTGGTGGGAGATAAACAGCACTGAAAATAAAAAATCTGCTGTTGACTTGCAACCTAATCCATATATCTTCGACTGAAGAAGGGATGTACAATTTGCTGGATAAAAGATTTTTCCTAACTGCTATCAGGACACCACCACCTATAGATTTTTCACTATTGTTTGATGAACGGTCATTCCTGTACACGACATATCGGTTATCAATAAATTCACTATCATCGATGTCTGGATGAAGCCATGTTTCTACAAAAATAATGACATGACACAAAGTTCTCACTCAAGCACGATACATAACAGTCGGTCAGTTTTGTTCGCATACCGCGCACATTTTGAAAATACACCGTTAGATGGTCTATGTTATGGTTTCTTCTTCTACTGCGTCTCGAAAATTTTTGCGTTCATTAGAAACTGAAAAGTCATCTTTATTTTTTGATGGGAAAAATCTGCGAACTACCACCCCTTGAGGCCAGATTTGAGGATTCAATATATCGTTAGATTTAGACTGAGGAATACTAAGTTTAAAAGAGCTATAACTTCCCCCTTTAGAGGGTAACTTTGAACATTTGAAATTTTGGAGATTAATCTCTGATTTCAGACATTCTTCCACTTGACTCGGCGTCATGTCAGGATCAATTCGGCCAATATAAAAATGGTGCATTTTTTCTACGCCCCGGAGAGATGACGAAGTAGCGGGTTTGACCCCATTGATAATTTTAGGTTTCCTGTCTGCAAAATTCTGTTTTTTTCGTTGATGTCTTGGGAAAGTGAAAGTATTCTTATCATTAACAGGAGAACCTTCCACAGATAAGACACTTGCTTTTTCAATCCTTTTATCAAGCAAGTCTGCTGTTTTATCACCAACTACAGTTTTTCCTGGAGAAATATCGTTAGAAGGAATTTCAGTGCTGTTCCCGGATTTGATGAAGTGCTGCTGATTACATGCCGAAAGATGCTGAGTCACATGAGAATAGGACACACCTGGAACGCTGACTTTGTTAGAGCTTGTTAGCAACTTTATTAGGTCAATATTGGTCGATTTGACGGCATCCAGTTCCTCTCGAATTCTAGTTATTTCATCAAACAGGACCGAAGTTTCATGCTGCACAATATTTTTGACTATAGCGCCAAATGCATCACTTTTTAAGAACTTGATAACGACGTCACTGTCATCTTGCGTATCTTGCGTTTGTTTGCAACAAATAACTTGCTCACTATTTAAAACAATTACATTTAAACGTTCAACACACTTCGGATGAAACACTCTTTCACAATTTACACATTTAGGCCCCTTCACGGCTTTGACCCTACAGTGTAAACATACAAGAGCGTTAGAAGACATGTTCACTCGCTCGTTTCGCTGCGGAATGGGACTTACAACGGTTTAGTACTGCTATAAAAGACTAAAAGTGCCTTTACACTGCATGATTTGTCATATGACTTTTGCTAATACAAATCGTATGATAAGTTGTATGATTTCAAGGAATCATACCATTTGCAGATTTTGAGTTTAGACTGCTATGCTTTCTCATATGATTTTTTCGTTCGACTTGAAGCGTGGTGGGGTGAGAGCAAAGTGTCA